TCTCCAACCCCCCTCCTATATCCCGTCTTTATTTTTCACACTCTTTGCCCCTGCTTTCTCACAGACCATTCATTTCTTGGCCCCTGGATATCTGATTTCTCACCCCACCACTCAACGGAAGCCGCTGTCTCCAAGGTTACCAGTGATAGGCCAGGAAAGCTGGCTTTCTAGAGAAGTACTGGCTTAAAACTGAACACCCACGGACTTGTTTGCTCTCTGTCTGCCCCTCCCTCTCCCCAGCACAGGACAAAAAACCCCATTTGGGGTTTTCTTGGCAAAGGTACTGGAGTGGTTTGCTATTTCCTTTGCCAGTTCACTTTACAGATGAGGAAACTGAGGCAAACAGGGTTAAGTGACTTGCCCAGAGTCTAACTGCTAGTAAGTGTTATGCGTCTGAGGCCAGATTTGAACTCAGGTCCTCCTGGCTCCAGGGCCGATGCTCTATCCACTGCACCACCTAGCTGCCCCTCGGTCACTTCTCTTTTAAACCATTTAGGAACAGTGTGAGATGGTGCAGTGCTCTCTTCTGAATCCACAGGGTCCCCTGCCTCATCAGGTGTTGATTCATTTGCCTTTGTCTTGAAATGCTTATTCACAGATGCCGGAATCCTTTCATTTGGTCTGGAGGCCATTTTCCCTTCTGCTCCACATTGGTTTCACGGCGGTCTTTGAGTTTTCTTCCTCCTGAGATCTTTGGTAATTTCAGTCTCCCCACCTGCCTTGTTCACCCTGTTGCTCACTTTCTGACTCTCTCCCTTCTGATGGCAGTTTCCCTGGGGCTGGATCTCAAAGCGTCTCAGCCCTCTCCCATGCTGGGAGCATGACAGTGTTGTTCCTAGGTCCTGCCCCAAGTCATTTCTAGGGAGAGACTGAACTGGCCCCAGCTGGAAGATGGGCTCCTTTTCTCAGGTTTAGTGGGGTTCCACACAGCCCCATGGATCCTTTCCTCTCTTTCTCAATTCTGTGTCTCACCAGCTCAGAACACTGCCACCTTGAAGGCTGTCCAAGGCTGAGCAAATTTCTGCCACTGGGAGCGTGGATCTCTGAGGCACTGGGAGGAGGTGGAGAGTTGAGCTCTATTGCAAGCCTAGACACAGGTCCTGCTCCATTCCCTGCATTACTGTACTCTCTGCTGTGGTCCAGAACACTTGGCTATTGTAGCCTGAACAAGTGTTTACCCCTTTGAAGTTAGGATCTCTGCCACACTTGGAGGAAGGGGGGAGGGTTCCACTGTGGAGTGGAGCTGTTGCAAGTCTGTGCGTTGGCTAGTGTGGGGAGGAGGTGCTGAGTGAGGTTAGGGGTTAGGGAAAATTGGCCTTCTCTGCTGTTAGTTTTGAGTTTGTTTTTTTAAACTGAGTTCTCAGAGTCCTAGACTAAGGAACAGCTGACATTTTTTTGTCTGGTGTCTAATTTCTATTTCAGGGTCAAACTACTCCAAACCTCCAAGCTATAGAAGGTTGTCTTCTGGTCCAGGAGGGTGGTAAGAGACCAGGTGATCTCCCCACTCTCCCCCAAGTAATTCCTTCTCAGGGATGGAGGGTTTCGTTTAAGGAATAGCCAGGGGGGCCTGTGTCATGCCAGATTGACGTCTACGGAGGGGCGTAAGGCATAGGAAGACTGGAAAAGCAAGAAGGAACCAGGTTATTGAGGGCTCTGAATCAGAAAGGATTTGACATAGGATCCTGGAGGTGATAGGGAACCACTGGAGTATATTGGGTAGGGGTGAGACAGGGTCAGACCCAAGCTTTGACAGTGCAGGGACCTAGGGCAGGAAGACCAGCTCTGTCCATGCCCCGGGCTCCTGCTGGCTCTCCGGCAGGCGCCCTTTCCTCAGCTCTGCGCTCTTGGGGCAGACTTTCACGTGTACATGGCTGGATGAAGGCGCTCCCTGGAGCTTCTCTTTGCGCTCCTTGGTCAGCATTGGGCCTGGTGTTCTTCTGTCCTGGCTGAAGTCTGTGTGGATGGGAGCCTCCTCTAACCATTCTCACAGCAATCTCAACCAGCAGTCTGATTGCTGTTTCAAAAACCACACCTAAAGCTCCTTAGCATCCTCTCCTCTCACCTGTCAATCACAAGAGCAGGCAGCATTTGCCAAGTGCAGATTTGTGCAAGCAGCTGTTGTTTTCACAGGTCTATCGGCCCAGGCCTGCATGGAGGTGGGTGGGGAGGGGCCACTGCTAAACCCTCGCTTTTCAGGACCTTCATCACCTGGTCCCTTCCAGTCCTCTTCCATCTCACTCCTTCTCCTCCTTAAACCATCCCCCCCCAACAAGACGCCCCATACTCTGCACGCAGGTAGCAGTGGCCTGCAGGCTGTTCCTCAGACAAGACACTCCATGCATTCAAACTGCTTCAGAGAGCGCAGCTCGGATGGACTGGCCACGTTGCTTGAATGCAAAACGTCTGCTTGCCAAAGATGATGTTACGGAGAACTCATGAAGAGCAAGCACTCACAGGGTGGTCAGAAGCAATACAAGGTCCCTCTCAAAATCTTTCTTAAGAACTCTGGAATTGACTGTGTGATGTGGGAGTCACTAGCATGGGACTGCCCAGCATGGTGTGCCCACATCAGAGAAGGCGCTGCGCTCTATGGGCAAAGCAGAATTGAAGTAGCTCAAAAGAAATGTGAGGTGAGCAAATGTAGAGAATCCCCCCAGAGGTTCCCATGGACTATTTATGCCTGACCCATGGTGGAGCATTCTGAGCTCATACTGGTCTGCTCAGCCACAGTCAGACGTGCTGTAACTTGATGCCATTTTGGTCTTCTGAGGAAGGACAACCACCACCACCCATCTTTCAAGTCTGGCCATTTCCCCTGGCTGTCCCCCACATCTGGAATCCTCTCTCCCCAGCTCCTCCAGGCCTCTTTGTAGTCCAGCCAAAACCCCACCTTCTGCAAGAAGCCTTTCCTGAGCCCCCTTAATGCTGGGGCCTTCCCTCTAGACTGTCTCCGATTTACCCTGTTTATGTCTCATACACAGTTGTTTGCAGCTACCTGAGGAACCCTGGGCAAGTCACTTAATCTGTCTGCCTCAATTTCCTTGACTGTAAAATGGGGATCATAACACCTTCCATCTCCCGCGGCGGGCACGACCAAATGAGCCAATATTTGTAAAGTGCCTGGAACATAGTAGGCATTTAATAAATGCTTATTCCATTCCATGCACCCCAAGTGTCATTTGAGCCTCCAAGGAGAATCGATGTGCAATCCTTCCATTATGCTGGAACACCTTTCTTCTACTTTGTTTTTAAAAGGGAACGTCAAGACTGATAGGATTCAGTTTCTCCCACTGTGTGTTTACTCACTGGCTATGGGACAAGGAGATCACATCTGGAGCACAAAAAGGTCAGACTGGAATTTGTGAAGTCTAAAACCCGTGACTATTAGCAGTCTCTTCCTCCTTTCTTCCCTGCAGACAGGGAAGGACAGGAAGAATCACTCTATAGCAAGACCATGTGTTGTGGTCACGTCTGACAAAATGTAAATGCCTCGAGCACAGGGCATGTTTTACTTCTCTTTGCATTCGAACACTGTTGTGTTTCTTTGCTTGGACCACACTGAACATGGCGAGTGACGTACAGTAGGTCAAGTCAAGCAGCAATTATTAAGCACCTACTACTTTGGCTTTTAAAGACAAGCAGGTAGTACAGTGGGTAGAGGATTGGACTTGGAATCAGAAAGATCTGAATTCAAACTAGGCCTTAGACACTTAATGGCTGTGCAACCCTCTGAAAAATCACCTAATCTCTGTCTGTCTCAGGTTCCTACCTGTAAAATAGAAATGAGGGCAGATAGGTGGTACAGTGGATAGAGTGCTGGGCCTGGAGTCAGGAGGAGCTGAGTTCAAATCCAGTCTCAGACACCTATTAGCTAGCTATGTGATCCTGGGCAAGTCACTTAACCAGTATTTGCCTCAGTTCTTTATCTGTAAAATTGGGACATACTGGAGAAGGAAATGGCAGATCACCTCAGTATCTTTACCAAGAAAACCCATGGACAAGTCCAGGAAGCCACATAGAGTTGGACACAACTGAACAATAGTAAAAAGCTGGGATGATATCAGCAACTACTTCCCAGGGTTGCTGTGACAATCAAATGCGATAATCCATGTAAAGTGTCTGGTACGCTTACGTAAATGGTAGTTATTGTACTGTTGTTGTTATTATTTGTCAGGCACTGTGCTAAGCCTGGGGACACACACACACAGAGCAAAAGAGTCCGGGCCCTCGAGAAGCACGCAACGTGCAAACAACCACACATAAACAAGATGCAGACATGATAAATCGGAGATTAACTACCAAGGGAGGGAACTAGCTAGCATCATGGTGGATCAGGACCTTACGGAGAGTAGAATTTTAGGATATCTGAAGGAAGCTAGAGAAGCCTCGAGGTGATGAGAGCGGGAGCATTCTCCTTACCGGAGCAGTCAGAGAAGATGCACAGCAGGGGGACAGAGGGTCTTGCTGGAGGAAGCCAGCGGATCAGAGAGTATGCGGGAGGGGAGGCCTTGAGAAGACTGGAAAGGTGGGAGGGAGCCCGTTAGGAATGGCTTTGACAGCCAAGCAGAGGGTTTTACATTTGATCCTGTAGTGGACAGGGTGCCATTCAAAAGAATGCTGGTTTAACAACTGGCTTTCTGGGGGTGGGGGGGAAGCCACACCCACATGTGTGTACACATACATATATTTGTGTGTGTGTGTATATATATGTGTATATATAATAGACACATATGTGTGTATACATATGCACATATATTTGTGCGTATATTATACATGAACACATATGTATGTTTATGTATGTCGTTATTTAGTTGTTTTCAGTCATGTCTGACTCTGTGATGCCTTTTGGGATTTTCTTGGTAAAGATACCACAGTGGTTTGCCATTTCCTTTTCCAGCTCTTTTTACAAATGAGGGAACTGAGGTAACCAGGGTGAAGTATATACATGTAAGTTTATTATAAATTTTACCCAACATAAAGGAAGCATAGCACACACTTCATAATGAAATATACATTACTCTTTATTGTAAATTCCACAGAGCCAATGGATTCTTACAGAATGTTCTCGTTGACTTTTGCCGAACTCTTGTATCTGTAGCTAGCCTATGGTTGCAATTTAACCATGATTTGACAAATGGAGTTGCATCCCAATCTGCTAATTCTTTTCCCAATAAATTTATTGTCATTAAATCAGATACATGATTTACCGTTAAACTGTTTCTCACCCTCGTACAAATTATATTCATTAAACGGAAACCTCTCTCAGCTTCAGCTGTACTGATGGCAATAGCGCTAATAATCTTTTTAGCTTTCTGAATAGTTGCAGGTATCGGAACGTTGTTTGCTTCTACATTATTATCCACAAAATCACGAAAATCACTCAGGTCAATTTCATGTTTTAAAATTTCACTTAAGTGATGTAATGTTTTTTCACCAGCTCTCCATGGTGAAGTAAGTTCTTCAAAAGGCCAAGTAGATGGTTCTAATAAATCAAAATAATGAAAAATGTTTTCATCATTTCTCTCCGATAGGAGACGTAAGTTCATGTGTTGAATTATATTTTCCAGTAGCACATTCCTAGGAAGAGCATTAAATGTATTATGTTTACCAAATGGAATGCCTTTAAAGTCGTCTGACTTCATTAAATCTTCCACTTGAGATTCATGCTTTCCAGTACCAACCTTTAATCTTTCCAAAGCTCTTATGGTGCATTTGATTAATTTTTGTGCTTTCTGAATGTTGGTTGACTTTGACTGCAAATGCAATGCAGCTGAAAGTAATGAAAGTTCTTCAAGAATGTCAATCATTAAAGCAAGGTCTTGCAAGAAATTACTATTAGCTAATCTCTTTGCCAAACCAGAATAAGAAGACGAATGAGAAAAATGCGTATATAATGTAGGATATGCGCGCCATATAGCAGTAGCAGCTTGTAAACTGCATGCTGCCCATCTCGGGCTTAGGACTTGACCAATTTTAATAATTTCAGTTTTAAGTTCTTTAGCTACAGTTTCCAGCTCGGTTTGATTTTTATTAGATTGGTGATAAACAGAATACATTTTATCCAGAAATATTTTTAAATGATTAACTTGTTTTATTTCAGATATTGAATCATCCAGTGATAGTTGCAATCGATGACTTAAACAGGGCCAAAAGATGATTTTAGGAAAATTTTCTAACAGCTTTGTAGGTACTTCAGACTTTCTTCCCAGAATTTTATTAGCACCATCAGAACAAAATGCAATTAAGTTCGCTTTCAAATATTCATTATTAAAGCCACAATCATCTAAAGTGGACAACAACGTATCGAAGACACACTCTGCTGTGGTCGACACCAATTCTTTTAAAGCGACAAATAACATCATGGGCGCAGGTGCGGACTGCAGTGCGCACTGGAGATAAATCACCAGGGTGCTCTTCTTCGAAATCGCCGACACCTCATCGATGATGACGCAGATCTTGGCGTTCTCCTCTGTGATACTCTTAAACTTCGTCATCTTAATTTCTTTTGCAATGTGTTCTGCTATTCTTGTTGCACTGTATCGTGTACGTAAACAATTGCCTATATCTATCCCATTCTTCTCCTGTAATTCTATTGCTCCCTCAATATCAGATAAAGGCCTATTACGTTTGACTAAACTGTAAACAGTTTTGAAAACTCTTACAGTAGCATCGATATTTTTATTATTTAATTTATGGACTATATTTGAAATTGAGTCATCAGCTGACTCTTTTAACAAGTTCTGAATTTTAGTATGGGCTTTGGAAACATCATGTTCCCTAATTTTTTTTCTCAGAGAAGCCTGTCTCGTAATTTTGTTACTGCCATTTGGGGTGATTAAATAGGCGCTCCATTCCTTGGACACGTGGATGTGCTTTTCCGCTGTCATTCCCAAGTGCCGAACGGTGGAACAGTCCTTACATCCTAATTTACCTCCTTTTATTTCAAGCCACTTGTACTGTTCTGAAAACAGAAATGCTTGTTTTTTGTTCCAACAATCTGGAAGCGTAAGATTATCTATTTTTTCCTTGGAGGAGCATGAAGGTTCTTCTTCAATGACTAGTCGCCCCACAGATTTGAAGTCGGGTTCTGTTGGCTTTGGCCCTTCACAGTGATTTTCATACCTATCATCATTTTCCATGTCTGTCTTCGCCTTCTTCACATTTAAAAAACTCAACAGATCACTTTGTCGTTTTGGTATTTTAGGGAGCAAAATCTGAAAAATAATTTTATGTTAATAAAATTCATGATACCATTGGAGTGTTATCTTAAAAATCCTGTTCATGATTTCTCAATTTTTGAAATAGCATAAATTTTAAGCTAAAATACTTGTATGAGTGTGTATTTCAGTTTTCACTTATAACTTCAGTAGGACTTGCCATTCCTTGCAAAATTCACTGTCAGTTTTTAGAATGTTATCATCGACAACAGTGCCACACTCAGACCATGAAGTGCTTGATAACTCTCTGATCCAGCAAAGAAGTCACTCACGTCTCCAACAAACGTGTGGAAGAATATAGTTCCAACACAAATACTGATTGATGTTTTCATCTAAGTTATTAACGAGTAAGATAAAAGTGAAATAACTTGCCACTCGCCTGCCCCTAAGGCAGTCGGCTTCTTTGCTGAATTGGGTAGTAGTTTTCAAGGACTTGAAGGATACTCTCACAATTTTTTGTGCTATTCATAATGTAACAGCCACAGACACGACCCCTTTTGAAGTGTAACCTGCACTGTTCACGTTTTCTCCATCAATTGGAACGCGGATGGAGACTGTCCCAGACTGAAATGTCTCACAAGTGCCTCACCTTCAGGGACACTCACCTCACTCAAAGTGCTCTGGACAGGGCCTGCTGCCTCCTGGGCCTGCGCTTGCTGGCCGCCCCACTCTGTTTCTGCCTCAACCTCACAGTCGCCACATTCTCCTGCCACAGGACAGCAGGGACCTTCCTTTGGCTCCCTTTCCCGGGCTGATGTGCCCAGGCAGATGCTCTGTGTCACAGCTGGGTCTTTTGCTTCATCCCCAGGCTCCCGACTGAGGTGATCTGAAGGAATGTGTAAAAATGTGTCATCAACCACTCTCCTAGTCACCACCTAGTTCTAAGTTCCGTAGTCGCCATCAAAGAGGAAGAAGCTCAGTTTGGACCAGAGACAATGAAGACAGTCGAGGGGAAACGGGCACATATGACAGGTGACAAAGCAGTGACAGACGCCCACCTGCCCACAACAAAACCATTTATACCCAGGCTCCGGCAAGGATTTACAAACTGCACTGAAAACAATACGCTCAACAGCAAACGTACAACTCCCTGTGGACACAAAGGTGGAAACACAGGAAGAGGCTCAGAAAATCACTCAGATGAAAACGATTTGAAATCTGGAGCACGCCCAGCCGAATAACGTGTGTTAAAACGAAGCGAACGAAAGCCCGCTGTCAATGAGCTGGGAATGAGAACGATGGTGGGCCATAACAACAACACAAAGGAGTCACCCGCGCTCGGGGAGACTTAGAGAGCGAGGCAGGGCTCAGGGCCCAGACCGCCACTGCGCTGCAGCGAGGAAGGGAGAGGCAGAAACGGACAGCTGCCAGCGGAGGCCACACAGAGGGAAGGCAAGGCACCTCGACTCAGCGAGGGCGACGAGGCGGGCATTACCATGTTTCCGGCAAGGTTAACAATCAGCAGACATGGACGTTTACGGACACGTGTGCAATCAGTGACAACCTCGGGGGCTTTTCATGTTACATGCTCGTTTTTCTTGTCCATATCCTACTGTGCACACGTGAATACCTGCAGTTGTTCAAACAAAGCTGGTTATTCAGAACAGTTTACATTCAAAGGCAGAGTCAGAGCCTGACAGGACCTCAGAGGGCCTCATGTCCAATGTCCTCAGGGCCACAGGCAGGACTAGAGCCCCCGATTCCTGACCCCAAGCGCCCCCCCCGGTTACCGTTCTCTCTCCTTGGCATGCAGCATCTCTGTTCTCTACCCCCGCTGTTACTGACCCCAGCCTAGCAATGAAGCCAAACCCTCCGACAGACCCTGTCCGAAAGTGCACACCATATTTGTTGTGGAAGGGTGTTTTAGTCGTGTCCAACTCTTCATGACCCCATTTGGGGTTGGTATGGTTTGCCGTTTCCTTCCCTAGCTCATTTTACAGATGAGGAAACTGAAGCAAACAGGGAGAAGTGACTGGCCCAGGGTCACCCAGCTAGTAAGTGTCTGAGGCTGGATCTGAACTTGGGAAGATGATTCCAGTCTTCCTGACCCCAGGCACAGTGCTGTATCCACTGCGCCACCTAGCCACCCCTACTCCACACTCTATGCCACACCCTTACTCCTCTACCTTTCTATTGAGAATGAGATGATGGGGGGAGAGGGAGCGGAGGAAGGGCGCAGAGAAGGAACGTTCTCTTACCAGTTACCTACCGCTGAGCTTGTTCAGTACAGCTCACCAGAGCTGTTGTTGTTTATGAGAATGAAGTTTTGTATATACCGGGGGCTGACAAAGTATAGCCCACAGGCCGATCTGGCCTGCCATCTTTTCCTGAATGGCCTCATGAGCAAAGAATGGTTGTTAAATTTTATAATCCTTTATGTTATAGTATACTTTATTTAATAGAGTAAAAACCATTCTCAGATCATGAGCATACAAAGTGAAGCCCAAAGGCCATAGTTTGCTCCCCCTCCCCACTTCAGCCCCGCATTGCTTGAATCGGGCTGTTCTGTTTCTCTAAATTTTTCATATCTGCCATCCCTTAAGACAAAAGAACATTCAATTGCATTCAGGGACCACAATTTGTTCAGACATTCCCTAATTAATGGACACCCATTTATTTTCAGTATTTTGTCAGAAGCCTGTAGTCATGCCTCTTCACATCCTGGCTTTTCTGTATGCAGAGAAGCAGGGAAGGCACCTCAAGGGCCCGGCCCTTATTTCTCTCATCCAATTCAGTTTCAAGGCCAATTTCAAGGCCCTTTAAGCAAACACTGGTGTGGCCTATGTGCAGTAGGGCCTTAGGAAAGGCTTGCCCAGCCCACACAGCAGGGCTCTGTGAAATGGTGTTCTGATCACCCTGCGGGATTGACTCCTGGGGTGGTAGGTTTTGCTTAACTCCCTCCTTCCTTTGTCTTCTTTCTTTTAAGTAATGGCTCCCTGACTGGGGAAGGGAGGAGTGACATGTTGGGAAATGAAAGTGATGGATAAATAAAATACAGCAATACAAGTAAAGAGAAAAAAACAGAGTTGAACTGTTTTGGCAACGTGTCCCAGAAACAACTGAACACAGTCATCCAGGGTTCCGTAAAGCAAATGACACAAACTATGGAGGGAAGAACACTTTCTTCAATGAGAGCTGCTGGGAAACAGACAGAAATTAGGTCGGGGCATTGCTTCACATCACTGACTTTCAGGACTTTCAAGCAAACATAATGAATATGCATTTTATGTAAAAAATAAAACAGAGTTGACTCAGAAGGCTACTTAGAAAGGCTATTCAGAAGCTATAATGAACTGACACATATTCATCAGAGACAGATGTTTCTAAATCTGATCAAGTAAGCAAGGCAAGTAGATGATGCAGTGGAGAGTATCTGGCCTGGAGTCAGGAAGACCTGAGTTCAAATCCAGCCTTGGCCACTTACTAGCTATGTGACCCTGGGCAAGCCACTTAACCCAGTTTGCTTCAGTATCCTCATCTGTAAAATGAGCTGGGGAAGAAAATGTAAAACCACTCCAGTACCCTTGCCCAGAAATCTCCAATGGGGCCACAAGGAGTCAAACACAACTGAAATGAGCAAACAGTAACAAGTGAGAAGATGGCATTGCCAGTGGAAAATCAGAAAGGACCACTGACCTCCTGAAAACCTCTTCAAACTCTCCAACAATTACAAAACTTAAACTAAAAGCTATAAGACTACCACTTTACACTCATTAAACTGGCAAAAAAAAAACCAAAAAACAAATCTTAGTTAAACTAATTCAGTGTTGATGGGACAAAGAATAAAGATACATCCTCATACTACTGGGACAGTCAGGAATTGCTACGAACTTATTGGAACAGAAAACAGCAATCTCCAATAAGAACTAGCAAGTGTTCATGCTGCCGGATCCAAGGAGCCCACTGGCAAAACCATGTCCTAGGGACGCTCCCCAAAGGGGGGAAAAAGAGACCTTTATGCCAAAGTATTCACTATACATTATTCACAGCAGCAAAAACGAGGGAAACCCCAATGCCCAGCAACAGTGAAGTGAACTTGGTGAAATGTTGTCAGGTCATACGAGATTACAATCAAAGAAAGATGGGCTGACTCCACCTTTGCTCCACAGAACCGCCAAGACCGAATGTCATTGTTTTTAATGGCCTTTGCACTGTCGGCTCAAGGCTGGACCATGCTGCTTTAATTGGCATCTCTTTGAAGACTGGTGAGGTAGAACATTATTTCAATAGACCATTCATTGTTTGTGTTTCTTTCTCCAAACATTTTCTGTTCATTTCCAGCTTCCCCCTCTCAAATAGCGAAAAGAGAACCCTCTTCTATTTCTATGAGGACATAAACATGTGGTACCAGAGAACAATGAAAGGACAGAACCGCAGAGGGAAGTTTAACCTCCCCAAGATCCTCCCCCCAATGCCTCAGGGCTTTCAGGAGAATACCGCTGACTTGTCTGTCACGCGCTCACTCACTCACCTGGATAACACTGTCAGCCTGTCTGTCATGCGCTCACTCACCTGGATAACATTGTCGGCCTGTCTGTCACATGCTCACTCACTCACCTGGATAACACTGTCGGCCTGTCTGTCACACGCTCACTCACTCACCTGGACAACACCGTCGGCCTGTCTGTCACACGCTCACTCACTCACTCACCTGGATAACACTGTCAGCCTGTCTGTTACGCGCTCACTCACCTGGATAACACCGTCAGCCTGTCTGTCACACGCGCACTCACTCACTCATCTGGATAACACCATTGGCCTGTCTGTCATGTGCTTACTCACCTGGACAACACCATCGGCCTGTCACACGCTCACTCACCTGGATAACACCATCGGCCTGTCTGTCACACACTTGCTCACTCACTCACCTGGATAACACCGTTGGCCTGTCTGTCACATGCTCGCTCACTCACCTGGATAAATGGCTCTGAGGACACCTGCCTTGAGCATCTGTGGTGTTTCTCCTTTCTCCAACTGGGAGATAACATCAGGTTTCGATGGTGGAAGCCCTGCCCCTGGGGACAGAAATCAGGAAAGTGGGCACAGAGGGCCCGAGAGGGTCAGCCCGAGCTGTTTCCTCTTCAGGGGAAAAAAAAAGAGATGCTCTGAAAGCAAAGCGGACAGTACAAAAGGCCTCCAAGTGACAGTCTGGGATGGAGTCTGTCCAAATTCAGGCTGGTCACAGGTCAGATCTGGGCCCTAGACCCACAGCCTGCTAAGAGGGGAGGGTCCTTCTTCATTTGCCTTGTGTCTGCCAAGAACAGAAAGGATGAAGGGGAGTCACAAGCTCAAGGCCAGCCAGCCCCAGGAAGCTGGGAATGCCCTGGCACCCATGGGCAGGACACATTCATCAAAGAACACACATTCTTGACCAGTCCTGCACATTAAGCAGACTCAGGCGACCCTTCAGACCCTCAGGCAGGCAGAGGGGAGAATACAGAGATGCCCAGAGTCACAGGGGCGGCCGCGCTTACCCACGGACACCAGGTTCTCATAGTTCTCCAGCATCACGTCCCTGTACAACGCCCTCTGGGCTGGGCTCAGGAGTCTCCACTCCTCTGATGAGAAGTCCACAGCCACATCGCTGAATGTCACTGGAAGCTGAAACATCAAACCCATTGCTGTGGACCAGGGTCCACTCCTTCCATGTCCACAGGTGACCCAGCGAGTTGGTATGGGGTGCGGGGACGGGGTCCTAAAGTCCTAAGAGTTTTGGATACTCCTTTTTTTGGTAAGACAGATGGGCGGCAATCTCATTTGTGAGGGGAGAAAGGGTAGAGCTAAGGCCGATGTGGACTCCTTGCCTCTTTGCCATCTTGGTGTGAGCCAAGATACCTAAAAGCACTTTTCTGGATGTTGCCTAGAGGCTTAAGCTATTTCCATTTTTCTTCCTCTATGGACTGGCCCATTCCTCCTGGATCCTACCCCATTCTCCTGTGCATCCCCTGACTTGTGTGTCAAGCTCTAGAACTCCCTGGCCCACCCCACTGAGACCCTAGGGAGACAGAGGCCCCACTGTATCCAGAGCTGTACCCAAGATGGCTGCTCCATGGCAGAGCTGTCCTTCTCTAGCCCCTACCTCCCTCAACCCAGGCTGGGCACTGAGAGTTAGGACTCAGGGGCACTTGGTGCCTGGGACTCTGGGGTCTACTCACCAAGGTCTGGGGCTCCCAGGCTATATCACTGCCAGGCATGGGGGCAGGCCAGGGTCTTGGAGAGATGCTGGGAGACCTTGGTCAACCTCTACCTCTTTGGTCCCGAGTGTTCTCATCTGTAAGATGTGGGGTGGCACCAGTGGCCTCTGAGATCCCTTCTCCCCATAGCCAGGGTCCTACGATCCATCTCCCAGCCTACCCTTCCCTGGTGCTCCCACCTCTCATGGATGTCGGCCCATCTGTCGCCTTTCTGGCACTCTTATGTAGAAAGAGGCGATGACAGACTCCAGAGGAGGGACTGGAGACCTCTGAAGCTGGGAAGGTCCCACCAGAGGCAGTCATCATGACAGCTGGTAAGGCTGAGGGAAGAACTGGCGGGTGAACGGCAAAGAAGAGAGTGGGAGAAAAGAGAGAGAAAGGGGTGGAGGTGTGTGTCAGCCCTTGGTCTGGAGGGGCATTTTCTCAAGGGATTGCTGGCTGACTGCAGAAAGGAATGAGCCAGGAGCCAGAGAGGAAGGAGGGCCAGAGGAAGGAGAGTGAGGCAGGGCTCAGCCAGAAGGGGATTCCCCGGAGGGTGAGGGAGGGAGGCGAGGGGCTGGTGGTAATGCCGTGAGCTGGGAAGAGGCAGAGCACACTGGCAGGGCTGGGGAGGCCAGGCACCATTCAGACAGCTGTCCTTAGAAATGGTCCGTTCAGCCATGAACAGGTTGGCCAATCCTGGCCGGTGGTGTTTTTCAGAGTCCTGTGGGGGGCAGGGGCACAGACAGGCTCTGCCGTTCTGAGCCCCTTGGCTGCCCCTCCTATTCTTCCTGCTCGGTCCTGATCATCCCCTTAAACTTGCTACATCCATCAATCATGTGGACCTCGGTCCCCCAGCAGTTCTTCGCTCCTGCCTGTCTGCACTGAGCCTTCACTTTGGGAGCACTGGCCAAGCCCGCAGAGCCCATGGTCCTCCTGAGGCTGCCCTGCCCCCACCTTCCAGATCGGAGGTGCTCCCGAAGCTCGCTCTGTCACCAGGATCCTGTGCACTTCTTGAATCAGGCTTCCCAGGCCCATGGTGGCTCCTGGCTTCTACCTCATTAGATTCAGCTCCATTGGGGTGGGGATGTCATCTCGCCCCGCATCAAATGGCCTGAACTTCTTCTCCACTTCCCACATCTCCTCGCTCCAGCTCCGGACACAGGGGATGCCCTGAGGGAGGGACATTAGGCCAGGGCCACCGCAGGCCCTGCCCGGCAGGCTGCTGGGGGGCTCCAAGCGGCACGCTGCTGGACTCCCCACTAACCCCACACGGCTGCCTCTGCCCATACGGACTCCATGCTAACTCTTTTCAGGCTACCACCTCCTCAGAAAAGGCCATGGGGAAGGAGCAGAGGAGAGTACTTGGACTAATAAGACGAAAAGGGAGATGGCAGTGGGTGGCAGGGGGAAAGAGTACGGGTCTGGAGGTGCGAAGTCCCGAGTTCAAATTCAGCCTCAAACACTTCCTAGCTGTGTCAGCCTGAGCAAGTCACTTCATTTCTGTCTCAGTTTTCTCAACTATAAAATGGGGCTAATAATACTATCTGCCCCCAGGGTTGTGGCGAGGCTCAAATTAGATAATAATTGTGAAGCGCTCAGCACACAGTAGGAGCTATGTAAATACTGGCTGCCGCTGCTACTACTGATGGTGTTATTCTAAGGTGATTTGAAGGCAAGGAACTCAGGAGTAGGGCAGCAGCAGAAGGATGAGAAGGTGGGAAAGGGCAGGAGGAGGGAAGGAGGAATCAGTGTTAACAAAGCGTGATTTAACCTGTAGAGCCAAGCAGTGAATCTGGAGGTTAACCTCCAGAGGTAGCAAAGAGGGGCGCAGGGGTGGCTACTGCACTAGTGAGAGGTGTTATCAGTCTGTTAAGTTGGGAAGGTCTCCAGGAGGTGCTTTGGAGGGCAGGTGTAGACACCCACAAGAGGCTCAAAGGGCAAGGCAGGGTCGATTCTGCTGCACGTCTGATCGTCCCCAGTCATAGGCCTGTTTCTTTATCAATGATCCTGAAAGGAGACACTGAGCTTCAATGGGAAAACAGACACCTGGTTGGGAAGGCGGAGCGAGCAGGGCTGGCCCACACAGGAGGAGGGGGAGGAGACAGACATCTCACACCTGCAAATGAGAAGCGCTTGGGAACAGGAGCTGGCTGTCCCTCAAAGGCCACAGTGACTCTCCATGCAGAGATGGTCCAGGGAGCGCCAGAGGAAGGAGAGAAACCTTGTGGTGGGGGAGGGGGCAACTGCCCTGAGCAGAGGGAGATGGGGAACTGATAACTGAACAGGGAAAGCCATCATCTTCCTGAGGCAAGCATCACACACAAATGAGAGAGGGGACAAGACTTGGCAAGAGGGACTACCACCTGGTAGAGGAGACAGCTGCATCCCGGGCAAGGACCTGAAGACAACAGGGGCATGGGTGTGATTCGCCTCACTCCTGCCCGGTGGAGGCCAGGGATGGAGACCATCATCATCCGTCTAGGAAGATGGCGCCTGAGGACGGGACGCCAGCTTAGACTACAGGGATGACAGACACCTGGCCAGAGACGCGGCCACACGGAGGTCACAGAGAAGCCAAGCTCTTCCACAAACGATCCAAGTGTCAGAGAATGGCCCCAAGAATAAGAAAATCTGAAAAGATCCTATTTAAGTCCTCCATCTCGACCAGAAGAGGGTCATATGAGCATTTACGGGGGCGGGGGGGAAGGCCAGCCAAAAGCAGCAGAGTCAGGGAAGGGGGATCCAGGGCAGATTACAGAGAGGTAGCCTGAGCCAGCCAGAATGGGCGCAGGAGGGTCCCAGCCAGCTGACCAGCTCCCACCAGGCAACCGAGGCATGGCTGGGACACCACAGGCAGCAGGCAGAGTGCAAGGAGGGCTGGGACCCCCAGATTTCCCCAAGGGCCCGCAGGGCCACCAGGGGAAGGCACAAAGTGAGGCCTGTGCAAAGAGGAGCCCACCTAGGCCTGAGTCCCCGGAGGATGGAGGCCAGGAGGTGGAAGAAGTCAGACACAGAGACTGGGCAGAGGACCCAATGCCAGCTGCCTCGTCCAGACTGGCCGGGGCCTGTGGCTACTTTGCAACAACCCTGAGACAAGTGCTACTCTAGCGCCCCTACCCCAAGGGGAGCATTGTGTCTAGCCCTCGGGGTCGGAGTTTAGGAAGGTCACTGATAACCCTGAGAGGGTCCCGAGGAGGGCACCAGGATGCTGGAGGGCCTTCAATTCATGTCGTAGAGGGACGCACCGAGTAGTGAAGATGAGTCGCCCGGTGAGGAGAAGACTTCGGGGCATGGCGGCCATGTCCAAGGGTGTGAAAGACAAGGGATCAGACTGTTCTCTTTGGCCCCCAAAGGACAGAACTCAGAGCAAATGTAGGCCTGGGCCTGGCAGAGCTTCCTTAACCATTAGCCTTCTATGAGGAGGTAATAAGATCTGTTTGCCCCCATGGAAGGTCTTCAAGCCAAGGCTGAATCCAAACTGGCCCAGCAGGCTCAGGGGCATTCCTTCTCCTTCCCAGGGGTGGGCTATCCACCTTGCATGCGCTGTTCTGCCTGTGTCAACTCCACAGAACGAGAGGTACCCTTCCTGTCTCCTTCTGTGAGCCATCCACCCCGTCAGACTGTAAGCTCCCTGAAGGCAGGGGCTGTCTTTCTTTTGATTAAGTGTCCCCGGTGCTTAGCATAGTGCCTGGCACAGAGTAGGTGCTTAACAAACGCTGACCGAATAGGAGGAGGCGGCCACTGAGTGCTTCTCTGGATCCTCCGGACACCGGGCCTCTTCTGGCATGAGATTTCGTACCACACGGACAGTTTCCCTGGTCTTCCATGTGCTCTCCCAAAGTGAGCCCCCCAAAAACCATCCCAGAAGGAAGAGTTAACACGCTGGACGTCAGGGTCTGCACTCCACAAGAACTTGTGTTTAATAAGCACAGACCGCTCTTGGTGCGAGGGCTGTGCAGAGACAGGTGGCAGACAGCTCTGCCCCTCAGGCCACAGCCTGCCAGCCCAGGGCTGATGCACGGGCTCAAAAATCTAGGGCAGTCATGACTCCAAAGTCCTGTGACTCTCCATCATCCATCAGAATGGCCAGAATATGCTGGGGGAGACTAAGTGAGTCCCAAGGCTGTGGGTCAGACCGAGACGGGCCAAGGCCATTCACGAGAAGGGAGATAAGAAAGCATTTTGGAAGAGGGAGAGTCGACTCACCTGGAGCCTGGCTGTCAGCTGCCCAGAAGCCATTCCTTCCTCGGGGCTCCTGTCCTCGGGCAGGGCAGGGTCCTGGAGAGTGCAGGCTGGGGGGAGAGATCAGAAGGGAGGGAGACCACCAGTCAGCCCCATAACTCCCAGCACAGTCCTTGCAGCACCCCCAAACCCTTCTGTGCCTACGGTGCACTCAGCTTTCTCCACCACTGCCCAGAGGGGGCCTGCTCCGCATGTCAGGAAAAGGGCGTCAGCCAGGTGTGCTCCAGATACTGGCTCCCCTCTCCACGCCTGGCAGCCCTTCCCCTCATCTCCTGCTCGCACACGATCACGCTCTCCCTGCACTGTGGGTGGAATCTGAAATGTCTGATGGCTCAGAACCAAAAACTAGTCATTAATGAGTCAGGGGGTGGCCCAGAGCACTGGCTCTGGTGGCAGGAAGATCTGAGCTCAAATCCTGCCTCAGACCCTCTCCAGCTGTGGGACCCGGGGCAAGTCATTCACCACTGTCTGCCTCACTTTCCTCATCTGTAAAATGGGGATAATAATAGCGCCTCCCCCTCCCTGGGTTGTTGTGAGGATCATGAGACAATAACCGTAAAACACTCAGCACAGTGCCCAGCTCTGAGCAGGCACCAGACTGTTATCCCTTCCACACTGTGACTTTCGATGTATCATGGGTTAGCATAAGAAATTAAATGGGAATTCTGGGGGAGTTTTGTGGATGTCGCAGACAACTCCGCAGGCCAGCAAACTCCCCAGAGCCCACAACCAAATACTTAAGCCAACTTCTACAATAAGGTACTATAAACACCCCACAAATGAAATGAACAAAATCAGACTTCTTCTCTGGTACAAAGGGAGCGCAATCGCAAGGGTGCCACGCCCCTAACTCCCGTGATGTGGAAGGGATAACAGTATAAATGTCAGCTATAGTTACTATTTTGTCATTCCACAGATTAACAGTATTTCTCCACAATGACTCCCCAAGTCAGAGACCTCCCTCTTACCCCATCCAGACGTCGACCTGAGCCATCTTGCTATCAGCTCTGAGGCGACCTCACCTTCCGCCACATGGAACAGCACCTGAGGACCCAACCTCTGGACAGCCAGTCCCCGGGCCCAGAATTTCCGCCCTAAGCTGGAGCTGGCTCCAACAGGGAGTGAGTGAGTGTAAATCCCCCTTGCCCTCTAAATCTAGGCCGGACCTGACTCATGGTACATCCCCCTGTCCATTTGGGTCATCTTCTTATTTAGCCCATTAGTTGTATCTGACTCTTCAAGACCCCATCTGGGGTTTTCTGGGCAGAGACTGGAATGTTTGCCATTTCCTTCTCCAGCTCATTTCACAGATGAGGAAACTGAGACAAACGAGGCTGAATGACTTGCCCAGAGCCACACAGCTAGGAAGTGTCTGAAGCTGGATCTGAACTCAGGCCCTCCTCACTCTGTCCACAGCGCCACCCAGCTGTTCATCTTGCCATCTGCCAAAGTACACGTCCATGTGCCTGTCACCACACCGTCCCCCAACAGTCATTTATTCTGTATCTTGCTCTCGGCCCAAGAATGAAATCAGTAAGACCACGGCATCTGAAAAGGACACGCGTACTCTATGAGGCAACTCAACAGGCCTGTGATTCTGGAGCCAAACTCCCTGGCCAGGCCACCACTTTCCCATGGTAGAAGGGAAGCTCCCTGAGGGTAGGCACTGTCTCCTTTTGGTATTCATCTTCCCAGCACTTAGGAAAGGCTTAATGAAGGCCTCTTTGTCCCTTCACCAACCAGATGGGGGGGGGGTGAGGTCAAACCTCCAGGAGCTTGGGCTTCCCTTTCTCTCATGATTAGCTAGCTGACCCGTTCTTCCTTTCCTTTGCCAACAGTTTACAATGCTTCTTTGAAGAACTGCTTGGTCACGTCCTTTGACCACTTCTCTAGTGGGGAACGAGTTTTGGGGCTATATATTTTCATTCCCTACCTATCCTGGATGCCAAGGCCTTAATCAGAGATGTCAGATGTGAAGATTTTTTTCTCCCAATCACCCACTTCCCTTCTTACCGTTCTTGCATGGATTTTGTTTTGTCATCAAAATCACCTACTTTAGCTTCTGTGATTACCTGTGTCCCTCGCTTGGTCTCTGGGCACAGATGGGAACCTTTGGTGATGTGACCCTCAGTGCGGCAGGAGGCCCTGGTCGAAACCTAACTTTCACCAAACTCCTTTCTAGGTTTCCCAGCAGCTTTTGCCTAATAGGGAATTCCCCCTTAAGTGGAGAGTCGGACATGACTGAAGGACTCCACAACAGCATATTTCTCTTTATAAACCCATACCAAAACATCTGGGTGATTATACCTTCAGGACTGAGAAGCTCTCTTTTGTATCTGTACTTTCTCCAGGACCCAGCCCTGGCCTGGAACATAGCAGGCACTTTTAAATAAATGTTTGCTTCTCACTCTCACTGGATTCACTGCACTGAGATCACAAGGAACACAATTCAGGATCTGACCTCACGACTAGCAAACTGGCAAAGATGATGAAAGACTGAACCTGCCGATGCTGGAGAGGCTGTGGGAAGGCGGGCACATGATACGGCCAGTGCAGGTGTGAATCCTCCCAACCATTCTGGAAGGAAGGTTAGAAGTACGCTAAGCAGCGCCACCCTTTCACCCAGAGGTCCCACGGGGCAGAAAGTGAGGTCCTAAAGTGCCCAAACGTTTACAAAAGCAGCCCCTTTTGTGGCAAAAAGGAGCCAGAAACCACACGTGCCCATCACATGGGGAAGAGCTGGAGTGACGGTACCACATCAAGGCCACAAAGAAGGGCTAACTACGAGGAATGCCAAGAAGCGTGGGGAGGCGAAGGGAGCCAAGGAAAACGATGTACTCTCAACAGTGGAACGGGGACAACCACAGCGCCTGCCTTGCCAGGCACACAGCAGGCACTCTTCAAAGGCCAGTCACCATTGTTTTTAACGTACAAATGGAAATGGCAAAACAAAACTGAGAGACCTGTAATTCTAACTACCAAGCAGGGCCCCAAGAAGAGATTAAGAGAAATCTGCCGCCCTGCTCAGGACACGGGGGGGGGGGGGGGGGGGGGGCCGTGCCGTGGGTGTGGCACACGGCATACACTACTGGGGGCTGACACTGAATTACTTTTTTTCTCCCTTCTCATCATTTTTTCGATGCCTTTCTGGGGAAGGATATATTTGGAAACGAGAGGATTTAAACGCAGACATTCCTTTAAAGATTTTTTTAAGGAGATTAGTATTGGAAGCAAGAATCAGTAACAACCGATGAATAAGGGAACAGGAACGCCGACCTTCAGAGCTGCAGCTGGTGAGGGACACTAGGTCGTTCTTCAAGGATACTGGGGGAAGCAGAGGCCATCTGACAACAGAGGCATCCTCACGTGTAAGAGCTCTTCACGGCGCCCGGCACACAGTAGATGCTTAACAGATGTTCACTGGCTGATTCGCCTCTGTTTTCTTTGCTGAGAATGACACTGGGGGGTGGTGGGGGAAATGGGAGGGAATAAACATTCACATAGCATCTACTAGGTGCCACGCACTGTGCTAGGGGCTTCACAAGTATTTTCTCATTTGATCCTCACAACAACCCCGCAAAGTGGGTGTGTTATATTATTCCCAGTTGACGAAACTGAGGCAAAAAGAGGTTAACACATAGTGGCTGCTTAGAATCTTTTTCCATTCATTCACTGAAGCTTATAAAATATCAGCAAGCCTTTGAAGTCCGTACACTTTACTGGTTTTGTTCAGAGGCAGCCGATCCGGCACCGGGCCTGAAGGCAGGAAGATCTGAGTTCAAACCCAACCTCAGACACTTACTAGCTCTGTGACTCCAGGCACGCCTGCCTCAGTTTCCTCAAGTGTAAAATGGGGATCGACCTCCTGAGGTTGTTGTGAGGGCCAAATGAAGTAATTATAATGTGCCTGGCACGTGGTAGGTATTTAATGAATGCTTGTTTCCTCCTCTAATTTCCGAGAAGAGATGGAGACAGGAGAACTATCAGCACCCCTGGAGGTACCAGCCCATCTTAACCGGCCTTGCTTATCCAGGGCCCGCCCGTCTTCACCAGTGGCTGAGACGCTTCCTTGCCAGCACCCTCAGAGCCGAGCCAGGGCTGGGGGCGCAGCCGGGACGCCCGCTGCTGAGGGTGTGGGTGGCTTGGGCTCCATGATGGGGAGGTCGAGGCAGGGCATCCGCCCTCAACTCTGGGACCTGGGAGCTGCTGCTCCCTTGTGGGGAAGACCTGCAGGCCAAGAGACCTCAGACATAGCCCAGCTGTGTGACCCTGGGCAAGTCACTTCACCTGGTCTACCAGGCACTGACAGACCCCATCTCACTGGAGTGCTGTGAGGGTCATGAGGCTATGGCTGACAAGTGCTTCGCACACCCTGGGGAGCTGCACACACGCTTGCTCATGTTCTCAACAAGCCCCACTCCCAAAATGCACATACATGCAGTGTACACACACACCTGTGCACATATGCACACACACAAGCCTCTGAGTACACACATACCTATAAGCACACATGCATACACACCTGTGAGTATACACATACCTATAAGCACACATGCATACACACCTGAGTACACACACACACCTGTGCATACATACAAACCTGAGCACACATGCATACATGCTGTGCACACACCTGTAAGTACACACACACCTGTGCACATATGTATACACACAAAATTATGAGCACACATGCACACACACCTGAGTACACACACAAACCTATGAGCACACATGCACACCTGTGCATGCACACACACCCCTGAGGACACATGCACACACACCTGTGAACACACACACTCCTGTGCATAAAGCACCTATGAGCATATACATGCACCTGTGCACACCCATCTGTTGGGGTGCTTGGGTGCTTATGTTTGGATGCTTGTACTTGGGCCCCAATTTCTCCCTAACCTCAGAAACACTGTCCCTTGACAATCATTTAAGATCAATTGAGCCCTAAGGGCCAAAAACCTAAATTAATCTTTTTCTCTCTGAGTGAACTAAAAACACCCCTTCCTGTGTCAGCAAATTCCAGGGCCA